GAGCTTGTAAGCCCATCAATTAAGTATGCCACGTTGAACAAAACCTTGCCTTGAATGCCTTGAACCTTGAATTACTTTGCATGAATTCATCCATGAGAAGCCTACTTCAATCCAAATCTACTCGCATTGCAGATAACAAATGACAATGATAAAGACAATAATTGCCTTGGTTAAGAAGAAGTCCACAAATTCATATCTTAGGTCATGAACCACGCTTCACAATTCGATCCCCAGCCCTTAGCGATCAGTTATTTCAACTCAAAATTAGTGTCATGAGGAACATCTTACAGATGGATGATAAAGTCTGAATCACAGAAGAATTCCCTTGACGTGAAACCCTAGTCGCGCAAATGAAAACCCCAACACTTGCCAAGACTGGATAAAACAATTATATCTTGAAGAGAAAGAAATCCTATTAACCATACCTCACAATCTTGATTCCTCGGTTTAGACGCATAAAGAAATATCCAGATGAAACATCTTTGAACCACGATTCGAGAAAACCTAAATTGATTAACTGAAGAGTAGATGAATGCCATGTCATAGTCATTAATCCTAATCAAATGATAAGCATACTTATATGAATAGACGCCATGATTCGAAGCCCACATACGCTAGGTCACGCCCTGGAGTTCTTGACCAGAATAACCTACAACCAGTTGTTCATCAGAAGATATTAGCCTTGTAACTTGGTGGAGAAGAAGTCCAAAAATGAGCATGCTCAAAAACCGTAGTTCCAGTCTTATACACCAGGAAGACCCTGGATAATCAAACTTACTCAACACATACACCTCAAATCAGTTGTGAACCCTGGCTCCCTAACTGCTGATCTTTTGAACCTCAGGAGATCTATTTTATGAAAATGTGTGCTATGCACATGACCCATTGGAATGATGCAAATGAATGCAAAGTCTAAGCTAGAATAAAAGTGATTTAGGAGGGCAAATTTTGGGGTGCAACATTGTGCCCTGGTGTCGACTGTGCTTTGTCCCTTTGAAGCTGCGTTGAAATATCTTTGGGCAGTTGAGATGTTGTCGTGGATGGTGGCGATGCATCCCTTCTCCGTGTAGAACTTCATCTTTAGATGGACGGTGGAGGGGATATTGGTCAATTCGACCAACATTGGTCTCCCTAGGATGCAATTGTAGAGAGACGGGAAGTCGATGACCATAAATCGCACCTTAGCCTGCTTGGCGGCGGTTTCTTCCCCGAAGGTGACGAAGAGCTCCACGTGCCCCCATGGTTTGGAGGTCGAGCCATTGAAGCCTTGTAGGTCGGACCCCACATATGGTGAAAGGTGGGTGTCGTCGAGCTGCAAGGTTCAGAACAAATGGTTGTACATAACATCGATGGAACTCCCTTCATCGACCAAGACGCGGTGAACGTCAAAATTAGCCATTCTTGCCCTTACCAAAAGAGGGATGCTCGAGTTAGGGCCCCCTCCGGGTAACTCTTCGAGGTGGAATGTGATCAGCTCTGATCTTCCCTTGACCTTATCGAATATTACCGCTTGAGTCGGGGCCGTGTCGACCAACTCGTCGAGCTTCCTCTTTATGGAGTTTATGGAGATGTTGTTGAACCCCCCTCCAGTTATAACCATGGTGGAGGGGAATTTTTCCCACCTACTGTGCATGGACAGAGGTTCTTCTTCGTGTATGTCGGGGACGTAGAAGTCATCCGGCCTTGTAACAGAGAAGGCTATTTGGATGGGGGCTTCATCCGATGGACGAGTGTTTTCCTCGACCTCTCTTGTTTCGCGGGCGTCCCAGCGAAGGGCATCATTGTGGCGATATTGCCCGAGCCTGCCACCCTTGATGAGGGTTTCAATGGCGTCTTTGAGATGGACGCAGTCTTCAATCAGATGCCTGTGGCTCTAGTGGTACTGATGATATTTGCTCCTGTCAGCCTCGGGCTTGGCAGGGGCAGAGCGAGGACGTTTGACGCCGCCGTCCTTGAATTCGGTATTAGCACACTCCACCAAGATACTGCTCGTAGGAAGCTGTCAACAGAGTGTATTTGGTGAATCGCCCTGCAGGCCCATTATGCTTGCGGGGATCCCGTGGTTTGTTATCCCTCCTCTTCTCGCCCGTTTGTTGAGGAGGGATTTCATCCTGGTTTTGCAGAGTACTGGTCGATTCGCTATTCCTTGGGTCGCGGGCTCTGTTGGCCGCTTCCCTCTCCTCGTAGTCCATATAGGCCATAGCTTTCTCGAGGAGAGCATCGAAAGTCAGGGGCGATTCGATGCCAACGACCTTCCTGAACTCTATGCTCGGGAAGAGTCCTCTTTCGAGAAAATATCTCTTCATGTGATCGGTGCACGAGACCTGAATGACCTCGCAGTTGAACCGATAATAAACTCCCCGAGGGTTTCGTCGCTTCTTTGGACGATAGCCTCAAGGGCGGCCTCGGTCTTCGGGTGTCGACAAGACACTGTAAAGGAGCTGATGAACTGGTTCTTCAGGTTCTTCCAGGAGGTGATCGACCCTGGGGGGATGTTTTTATACCAGTCATCGCATGTTTCCTCAAGGTCGTAGGGAACAACCGACACTTGATTGGCCCCATGATGTTATGATAATGGAGCATTGCTTCGAACCCATCGACGTGGTTGACTGGGTCAGCAATGCCATCATACTCCTTCAGTTGGGGAGGCTTTTCCATGCCCCTGGGAATGGACGCCTCCATGATTGCCTGCGACAAGGGACCGCTGGGGTCATCTTCGTCGCTCCTGTAGGGGGAATGGGAAGGGGGTCGGTTGTAGTGGCGGTCATAACGATGTCCTTGGTCTCGGCGAAGATCCCTTGGACGAGGATATGTTTCTATGTTGCCCCTGTTTCTGTTTTCAAAGGATCATTGTTCCCTACGCGGGGGGGGGGGGGGGTCGCGTCTCCCGGTAGCCTCAGACATGGTTCTCTCCAGCGTGGGGCGTCGGCCAGTCCGTCGGGGAGAGAGGCTTCGTGACCTGTCCCGTCTGTGTCTCCGCGAGAGAGATTGAAGACGGTATTCATCCTAACGAGGAGGTGGAGTGTCAGGTCTTCTATATCTTCTAGGGGCTCGACGAGAGTCTTCGAGCGCCCTTAATCGCCTGCCTTGCGAGAAGATCATGTAGTCGTCTAGTTTATGGCCGCGAACAGGGCCCTCGTCTTGGCATCAGCGCCTGGAGGGACGAGGACTTCCTAGAAAGCGTTCGGTTCGTAGTTCTGGGGCGGATGAGCGCCCTCGTTTGGTCGAGAGCGTGATGAGGAAGAGGCAGTCATGCCGTCTCGATAATTCTGCATGAGACCGGCCATGTCACCGTCATTTTCATTGTTGTTGTTGTTGTTGCCCACGTTGTCGACGATGTTGTTGTTGGGGTCGGCGAGATGGACGTCCAAGATGTTGTTGGAAGTTGTGTCATCCATGACAATCAAGAATTTGGAGTTGCTTTTGTCTTAGATAAATGAAAGACGGGGAAACTAGTTTCCCATAGACGATGCCACTGATCGTACCTGAGCATAATGGATCGTCAGGGCCTTCGTCGAGCTGAGGTTGAAAGCGAGATGGGGGGGTACCTGCAAGACACTTTGATGCCAAAGTAAGTTTCAGGAAGAGTGAAGCAAGTGTGAGTATGAGCGAGAGAATGAATACCTGACCCTCTCAAATGAGAGAGTATTTATAGCCCTTAGCTCTGGGCCAAGGTCCCCATTGTTGAGCCACGATGAGGCTCAATAATAAGTCTGTCAGGGCTTACGTGTGTATGAAGTCCAGCACGTGGACTCCCCCTGGTCAACTGCCGCGGAAGAATATATGTTGGATCCGTGATTTCCGGAGGGCAGTTATGATGACAATCTTAAGAACACGTGGGCCACGTTCCTCAACGGATGTGCGGGGAGTTGCCCAACGATCTCCAACTTGAACTGTTTGCCTTTGGATCTTGTACAAAGGTGTTGGATTGGACCTCCCTTACAATAAGATAAGTGTGAGTCCAATCCAAATTAATTTTTAAATAAATCTGTTGAGACGTGTATCATTAATGATAAATATATATTTTGTTTTTTAAAATATTTTTTAAGAACCCTTTTATTGTGTGCATGATGTATCTATGTATATTAAAATGTTTTTTTTTGTCAAACTTTTTGTTTTATTGTTTTCAAAAATTCTATTTTGTTTTTTTATGGTATTTGATTTGATTTAGTTAATTTTTTATTATAAAATAATTGTTAGATATTTATGAATGTTTGATTTTTATTTTAATTATATATAAAATATTATATATAAATAATTGTGATGCATCCACTTTGAAAAACTTTTTATATATAAATCATATCCAATAAATCTCTTAAAAAGTTTCAATATTCTGTAATATAAAAAAAAATATTTTATTATAAAAAGTAATAAAAAAGATATTTTAAAAGAAAAAAAAGTAATTCCTCTCGTGCATCGCTCTAGAAATGCCCATCAAGGGAATCACGAAAACCAGGATTTTACAACACTTCACCGTAGAACCAACGATTCAAATAATAATATAAACAGGGCACGGTAACAACTTGCTCAGATCAACGATAACTCTCTCTGTCCCTTCTGATCACGCCTTCGTTCAGGTTTCAGCTGAATCAAATTCTCTCAGGAAAATAACCTCAAAGCTACGAAAATTCGGAGGGTTTTGATTTTCCTGCGGATAACGTCTTCCGGTATACTATCCGTGCCCTAATTGATCAACGAGCGGCGAATTGACAAACTCCGATCGAAATTCCCTAGGGTTCGTTGCCGCCGGCGAGGGAGAGAAACCTAATTTGTCAACTTCTTGTGATTTTAGCGTTTTCCGAAAGCAAGAGGAAGTTGCAGGGTGGAATAGCGTTAGTGAAGTTTGAATTTCAGGGTTTTTGAGGTCTCTGTCATTGATCGAACAGAAGCATCGCTATAGAAGGTATAAGGCGTTTGGAGAAGAGAGTTGTCGGAATTGGCTTAATGAGTTATCTATTTCGGCATTGAATTGTTCTATAGGGTTGTTCAACAACAACAACATGGGATATGATTCTGATAGCCCCTCGCGAGATGAAGGTATTTGTGTTTACTGAAAAGTGAAAACTTTAGAATACTGGTATAGAGGTGAAAGGAACTAGGAGAAAGTGGAAGTGTATCATGTAGTATCAGATGTATGATGTATCATTTAATTAAGAGTGGTTTTTTAGCTTCAATACTTTTTCTTCGACCATACTTAGAAGTTAGAAATCTAAGGAAACCCTATTTTAAGTTAACTAGTGACAAGCATAATTATGCGAGCAATGGAGCATCTATTCTTAAAATTTGTGAATTTATCTATGGACCAGAATGTACTTACTTGTCTTTCCTTTGCTTGTAGTTTCTGTTTATCAAATTCAGGATCTCTAGTTGTAATGGATTTTTAATAACGGGTTTAGTCTCTAAAGCAGAGTTATCAATCTCAGATAGTGGAGCGGAGCGGGGCCAACCCCAAAAATCGGATAGCGGGATAACTTATATTTGACTATTTTTTGGACTAATTATATAAATAATTACTTGAAAACTGAAGCGAATCCTCTTTTGTGTTTTGAGTTAGGGCAAATTGGTAAAATTTCTTAAAACTCCTCCAACGTTTACTTTTTTTAGGGGTAAATCTGGGTTTTTGCTATCAAAACTGATGAAATCCGTTTGGGCCGGGAAGCCCTCTGCTCTTGTGACAACCTCAAACTGAGACGCGAACTGCTCCTCCATAGCGGAGGGTCGCTGCTCCGAGACGCTATCCCGGGATAGCGCCGATATCGGCCGCTATTGATAACTCTGCTTTAAAGCACGACTGACTTGATGACATCGTTGTTTATGACCATGTGCTGAAATATATAAATTGTTTGTATGGGAATTTAAGCGGTGTTCATTTGTTTAGCTTAGTTTTTGTTTGACATAGTTCATTAACTCAGTATGTTTGATAAATTCGAATTAATAGATGACGAAGAAGAATACGAGGAGTCTGGCAAGGGTAATGGGTTATTTGGGTTCATGTTTGGAAATGTTGATAACTCTGGTGATCTCGATGCTGATTATCTTGATGAGGTAATTTAATGCGGCCTTTGATGTCCAATGTGAACTTGATTGTTGAAATGTTTGGAGAACCAAGATTGATACTTGCTAGTTTTTTGTTAGTTATTTTCCATGATTCCCAAAGTACCTCCTAAGTAGTTTTCTGCAATTTCTTAAGCTATTGTAGTATCATCATGATTGGTAAGTGGAGGTTTCTTAAGTTACCAAACTTTTATATTAGAAGAGTTAAAACCATTTGTACGGTTTTGAGACAATTTTTGAAAGATCATGTTTTTATAGGAGACCCACACTGTAACTTGAAAAAAAAACTAGTAGACAGTTTGGCATATTGCTGCATTATGGTTGTCTAAACAAAAAAAGCTATTATGTGATTCAGTTTTGGCGGATTTGATTTAGTGTGCAATGCATAGATTATTATTTGTTAAACTGGTTAAGGTCAAGTGGATTCGTTACAAATAAATTGGTCTTTACTAAACGGGTTTAAGATTTTAAGCACCAGAATTTACAGCCGATTGTAGAGTGCAATAAAAGGTTGCCTTACATTTTTGTACTATAAGATTAATTAATGTTTATACTTATACTTTTTACTGTGGTTAATGATGTTAGAGTTGGACATTCCAGATTATCAATTATCCATAGTAGGATCTGTTGGAGGTTCTAGGATAATTGTTTCTTTTAGGATTTGTTATCTTACTTTGAAAAATAGAACTATGATTATTGTAAGATGCACATTTCGTTGTCCTGGATTGTTTATGCTTCTTGATTTGTTTGTGTTTTGGTCAAAAACAGTAAACTTGGTGCTAATAAGCATATTTCCTTTTAGGATGCAAAGGAGCATCTCTCTGCATTGGCTGACAAGCTGGGACCATCACTGACAGATATAGATGTAAGGACATTGAAATATCTTCATTGTTTTTACAGAGTATCAAATATCATTATCAGGCTGTAGTGTTGAATTTAGAAATACAAATTCTATCTGTTGATTTTGTTAACAATTGTTTAATTATAAAAAATTTCTCGTATTATCATTGTTTTGCCATCTTCTATTTTGATGATGATATGAATATGCCCTCTTTGCAGTTGTCAGGAAAGTCACCACATACACCACATGGCATTGTTGAACAAGGTGAAGTTGTCTGCCAGGAAAAAACTATATCATGCAGTTTTTGATATTCTGTTGGTATCTTTTTTTTCCCTCATCATCTGAGAGCACTACCCCTATGTTTTATTTCTACTGGAATTCTTTCCTACACGAAGTATGCTTGGTGGAAAATATCACGTGAAGTAGCTATTTTCCTTTCGTCTTCCATGATTTTTCCTTCGTGTATTATCCCATATTCCCATGGTATTGGGTGATATAGGAATGCTAGCAACAGGCTCTTCATCCCACTACTATGCTTTGTCCTTTTTAAAACCATTCAGCACACTCATCACACTACCTATGATTTGTTCACTTCTTAAAAAGAATGTTGACTTTTATAAATATGATTCAATCATAAAGATTGTGTTCAAAAGAATTTGTTGCTAACATTCTTCTTGGGGGATAGGAGTGAGTCGACTACTCCTGGTGGACACTTTATTTTGGATATAGAAAAGTATCGTTTTTGTATAACTAGGTAGTCATGCCTGATGTTAGGGGTTAGCAAGGGCTAGTCAATTGAACTAGACTAATAAAGCTAGCTGGTGTGTAGTTTTAGTGATGGCTTGTAGCTGTTGTTCACAACATGAACAGGTAATAGCCATCTAGTGGTGGCCATATAGTGTTCCATGGCTTGGCTTCTGAAATATAGTGTCAGTGTATGTGCGCCTGCTTTCTGTGTGTATGATGCACACATAACGGATTTTTATTTCTCTGCTGGAGTGCATTTTAGTTGATACAAGCTGTCTTTTGAAAGACTTCATTGGACCCCTTTTTTGTGATTCAATCAATTTTCTGTGTTCTTCTCTCGGTCTCCCGTGGCGTAGGGCGGGATGTGCATCTTGTTTTCCTTTTCCTTTTTTTTTTTTTTTTTTAAATTTACCTTTGCAATTTTTGCTTCAAATTGATGTTAGGGTTGGGTTAGGTCTGTGTGTCTAGCTTCGGCTGAGTCACTATTCAGAAAGGCACAATGAAGTTGCTTCATGGTTTAGTCTGTTTGTTTAGTTAGCTTAAGTTATTAATTTAAATCATGAATTGCGTAATGTTTATGCTTCTCATATGACTCATGAATTTTTATCCGCCCGCCCACACATATAATATACGACTTTGGTGAATATTATATGATCTGACGATCCATGTTACGATTCCATGATGTACAATTTTGTCCCCTTTCTTGGTCCTAAGTAAAATTTTGATTTTGACTACTCCCTCCAATCTTTAATACTAGCAACACAGAAATTTTCTTTGATGATCTAAAAAGACATCCACACACATACCAAAAATGCCTCTAAAAACCGGAAATGCATTTCCGGGACGCACCCACACACATACAATTTTTTCGTTTTTGAGATACGCCCTATTTTACGACATAATTTATTCCGGAAATGCATTTCCGGAAATGTATTTCCGGTTCCTAGTTTTACATGTTCACACCTACACTGTGTTGTATTGCTAACCATACTGATATCTCAAGGGGTGTAAAGTAGTTTTTTTGCTTATATGACACCGGAGGGAGTACCCACATATAATAGAATATAGCAGAAAACAATAGTAGAAACTATTGATTACATAGTGGTATAAAACTCAACTAAATTGGAAAGTTCTGTGAATCTTTGAAAAGATAAAAGCTTTATTTATTGTAAACAACTTGCACCCGTGCTACATAGACCTTATGCTTCATGTTTGGTATGTGCTTTCATGTGAAATTTTCTGGTAATTTACTAACTTTAATTATTTTAATCTTAGACTGTGGTGAAAAGGCTGACAATGCTGTTGATTACGAAGATATTGATGAAGAATATGATGGTCCAGAGACTGAAACGGCAAATGAAGAGGACTATTTATTGCCAAAAAAGGAATTTTTCGCTGCCGAAGCCTCTCTTGAAGCTTTGGAACGCAAAACTTCCGTCTTCGATGATGAAAATTATGATGAAGAATCTGACAAGGAACAAGACTTAGAGAGTAATGATGCTAAAGTTGATAACATCTCTTTAGCTGGTAATATATTTTTTATTTTACTTTCAAAACTTTAGCTGGTAATATGTTTTTTATTTTACTTTCAAAACTTTAGCTGTTGTACTTTGTGAACTTTTAAATTAAGGTATAGATTTACATGTGTTCTAGTCAGTATGAAAATGGATGCAAGTTGGTTCTTGTTATGTGGTTCTAGTAATTTTTTTGTAGCCTTGCTCAGATATAATCTGTAAACATTTCTTGCCGATATTGCATAACATTTTGAATCTTCATTTTCTTGCATCTCCTATTCACAACTTATAGAAAGTTTTCTCTTTCCTCTTCTAAGGGTAGGTTTGGTGGTATACATTACTACTTTTTTATGGAATAGATTTTTGATAGTTTGTCTGTTTGCATTTTCTCATTGGTGGCGTGATTGTTTAACCACACTGGTATGCTTTGTAGCTTTTGTAAGATTTATTTTCATATTTCAACCTATAAGAAGATATATTTGTACTGTTCGATACATTGTTTAGTAATGGAATGTGTGCGACTGTCACCTGATACTGGTATTGTTGGAAGTTATTTTCATTGAATTTTTAAGATTGATGGAAAGAACACTTGTCTGGGAATTAGATTTGCACTGTGCTGAACTACATATCAAAATAATTAAAACACTGATTTAAAATGGTATTTGAATCTAGCTATTCGCTGCACATGGTAGGTAGATTTGACTTGATGTTACGTTTTTCGGTAGACTAATTAAATGAGCTCACTGCTTTCTTCCCTCTAAGTAAAAAAATATCATTCAAAGATACATAAATTTTATGAAATTTATACGGATTATATGTTTTTGAAAAAATATTCAAAAACCTCAGAAAAGGTTCCTTTAGTACTCTTTTCGTTGGCTAAAATAGCTAGCAGGGTTTTGATAGTTTCTATAAAAAGATGCATCACATAATCACATTTTCTTTATTTAAACTTAACTTATGGATCATATGTTGAATTCAAATTTGTATACAAGGTTTGCGGATTCATTAGCTTGTAAGCTGATTGGCTAAGAATCAGTTTAATTGATTACATTTCAAATTGTCATTATAGTAAATTTAATTATATTGTAAGATATAGTATTAAATCAGTCAAGTTTGAGCCCAAGTTCTTCCTTAAATACTCAGCTTAAATTTGAGTATAGTAACTGTGTTTGAGCTATAATTTAATATCCAAGTGTTTGGCTCAATTCACCTCAAAGCAAAGAACACCTAATAATAATGTGAGGTTTGAAGCATGTAATCTTAGGGAAGGCAGTGAATTTCACATTGGAGTCTTGCAATTTACTAATGTTAGCTTCTCTCTTTCAGTAGAGCAGGAGGAGAGCTTTGTAGATGCATCTAAAGGAGGGAGTGCTCTTGAGCATGATGTACAAGTTGGGTCTCCGCAGGCTGAAGAACTGGATACTGATGTTCAAATACCTGAGGTCAGTTTTTGCTGCCTCCCAAGTGTTTTCATCTTCTTCCTTTTCAGCTTTTTTGATGTTTATTGCGCTGCAAGGGGTTGTGACAGTGAACAACACACATTCTATTGCGCACTGTTGGCAGCATAGGTCTTGAATGATATTTATGTTTTGTACTTTTCTCATCATTTGATGAATATAAATACTGGGTTGAAGCTTCTACTAAATTCTCTATCAAATATGTAATGTTGGATAACTTGTAGTCTTGCAGTTGCTGACGAGATTTATTGATATAGCCAAGTGAAAGCATTGACATAATTTTTTTATGCAGAGCTTAGTTAATATTATGTGCACTTGCTAAACTTGTACAGCAAGAAAATCAACGTCATGACAAATATTTAAAACATAGCTATTAATAGCATGAGGTAGCTGTGCTATTGTGCTGTTGCAGATCATAGTGACTGATGGCCACCATTTGATCATGGTTATGTTTAGTTTTCAAGTAGTGGCTGTGGCGGCCGATTTATGAACTTTTCCATGCAAATGGGTCACTTAGGTGAAACCATCTGAAAACCCGTATGTTACTGCACAACCCATTGTTCTTCGACGAGTTATCTGCTATGACCTGTTGTGTTTTGGCCGGTATCCTTCGCAGTGACTAAACGGAGAATAAACTATAAGGAAGATGAAATAAAATTCAAGAAACAAAGGAGGCGGATAAGAAAGATCTAGAGACACAGCGATGTAGCTGTGGGTTACCGCAGTAGGAGAGTAGTGGCTTTGTATATTTTATTGTTTTATGGAGAAGAGGGCATTTCAGTTTTACGGTTTGGGGTTTCACGTAATATGCCCAATGATGACCCAAGTATTCTTTTGGTGAATAAGTTAACATGAATAGCTCTCACTGAATTTGTGTCAACGGTAACTCAATAAAAAATTTGTGTGACTTGAGCTCCTTCGCTAACATGTTAATGATCCCAATCCTTGCCAATGCATCTTTCATTATTCATAAATAAATTATGTATTTTTTTTTTATAAAATTTTGATCAAGTTCTATGGAAATAGATTCCCCTGCCTGCCCAAAAAGTCTATATAGTATTGAATTGCCAGTTATTTTGAGCACAAAATCTGATTAAAATACACTGAATTCAAGCTTATTATGCTTTTGTGGGGTGGGTGAGGGGGGCATGTTTGGGAAATATAACCATTTGTGTCCCTGTACCCAACAACTTAAGCTTTTGGATAGATTGTGCCGTGAAAGGTTTTTTGGTGCGGGGCTAGAGCAAAATGAATGCTGTATAATGGGACTCACTAACTTCAAAATTTGGTTGGCTGTATGCCTTTATGTAATTTTAGGCTTCATACTGGTGCGGTACACAGGTAAAAGCCAACCTAACAAAGTATTGCGCACTGACTTTTTTTTTCTCCTAAAATGATGATACTTTTTGTTGACAGGATTACAAAATTTTCATGGTTGACTTTCTCTTAACATGTTAATGGCTTAATTAATGAAATTGACATGTTAATGGCTTGATTAATGAAATGAGCAGGAAGGACCCGAAGCTTTAAAAAGATCTATGGCTACACCGTTGCCTGTATTGTACGTGGACGATGGAAAAGTAGTTTTACGTTTCTCTGAAATCTTTGGTATTCAGGAACCTCCTCGAAAGGGAGAAAAGAAAGAGCGTCGGCATTCCACTCCTAGAGGTATATACCTTTAGATAGCATATTTTCCTGAATTTTGTTTGCAAATGTTAGAACCTGTTGAATTTTTTTTAGAGGCACTTAACCACCACTCTCTCACCCATTCATCTTCAAATATTCACTAAAGTATAAAAGTTACCAAATAGTAAAGGTAGTAAATCCATTCCCATGACTTTAGTAGTTGTTTCAATTTTGTGCTGTTCACAAACAATTAAATTTATAACTAGGCATTGGTGAAATTTAATGACAAAACTGAGCTGCTTTCATTCTGTGGTGTATGACATTATGGCTTCTGTCCTTATTGGCTGTTTTTTCACTTCTATTTCTAGATAGATACAAGTCTTCGGATTTATCTGATGATATTGTAGAAGAGGATGAAGAGGAGTTCCTTAAAGGCTTCTCTCAGAGTCTCACACTCAGTAAACAGGTTTGTGTAATCGATACTGATGTATCAGAAAACGATAATGTTGACTTGGAATTTCCAAAGTTTGGATTTCTTCACGGAGATGCCTCACTTACTGCCAAAGATGACCGGCAACCAAAGGACTCTTGTCTTAGTGGTGAACCAATGAAAGGGGATTTCGCAGATGAACTTTCTTGGAAAGATCATCCCCTCATGTTGGCCAACTTTTATCCTCTTGACCAGCGAGACTGGGAAGATGAAATCCTTTGGGGCAACTCTCCTGTTGCAAGTGATAATGATAATAATATCTGTGAAATTTCTGGACCTGAATTGAGAGCTTCTGGTGATGGTGAAATAGAAATTGAAAGTGGGATACAAAATCTTCAGTCAGATCCCCATAAGATACTGGAGAAGAAGGATCATAATGTATTCATTTGCTGCTCTCCTGTTTCATTGGACCCCTTTGACTCAAGGGATTCTAATGGGGCTAAAACCAATTCAATGCCCGAAAGTCCATTTCATCCCCAACTTCTGAGGCTAGAAGTAGACAGTTCTCATCTTGCAGATGAAAGAGGGGCAGATATATCTGAGAATCATAATCAAAGTGGTCAAGTAAAGCGTTTGACCAAGGTTATGTCACAAAACAGAGATCTCATGGATGACTCATGGATAAACAAGATAATGTGGGAAGAGCTTGACAGGCCTAAGGTGAAACCAAAGCTTATATTTGATCTTCAGGATAATCAGATGCACTTCGAAGTTCTGGATAGCAAGGACGGTACCCATCTTCGCCTTCATGCTGGGGCTATGATCTTAGCCCGCTCTTTGAATTCCACTAACGCGGACTCTTCTGAGCTACCGGGACTTGGAGGTCAATATGGATGGAGACACGTTGCTAATGACAAACATTATTCAAATCGGAAAACTTCTCAGCAACTGAAATCAAACTCAAAAAAGCGCTCTGCTCACGGTGTCAAAATTTTTCACTCGCAACCTGCACTGAAACTGCAGACCATGAAATTGAAGTTGAGCAAGTAAGAATTTTTCATTTGAGGGAGGGTGTTGCATGTTTTACCTGGATTTAAGATGTTATTTGCCTAGTTAGTATATTATGTTTTTAAAATCAATTATCTGGTAGTTCTTAGATGCAAGCTTCTTTAATGTTTGTGTGGTTACTTGATACTTAATATGGTATCCCTTCTTCCTAAGACTTTGGGGTTTCTAATTTTCTTGGCTTATCAGCCCTATTCTTGTGTCCATAGTTTTTCAAAGTCGGATGCATATGGAAGAATTCTATTTTATCACTTGTCTTGTGTGGTACGGGCTTCCCTAGTTTGTACAGAAATGTGTTGATAAATAATTACTATCCATGCTTATGAAAGATTAAAATAAAAGGTTATTTTGCATGGAATGATAAGAAAGTAAATATGCTGAAAGGAATAACAGTGCATGCATTCCTACTGAATAACACTGGCCCATTCTTTTATCAGTCACTTGGCTATATTAATTTTTGATTTGCTTATGTCACTTATCAAGTTGCTGTGAAACCTTAACTGATTTGCACAAGCGGGGTCTACCATTTTTCTGTCCTTTAATTTCCATATGTGCATTGTAGGTATTTCGTGTTTTTATATTCTTACTAACTCTTTTGCAGTAAAGATATTGCAAATTTTCACCGGCCTAGAGCACTGTGGTATCCCCATGATAATGAGGTGGCTGTTAAAGAACAAGGAAAATTACCAACAAAAGGATCCATGAAAATTATTATGAAAAGCTTGGGTGGTAAGGGGTGTAAACTGCACGTCAATGCTGAAGAAACTATCTCTTCTGTTAAAGCAAAAGCTTCCAAAAAGCTAGGTTGTCAACTTTTCTTCTTTGTTTTCTAGTAAAATTCCTTATTTGAATAATTAAATTTATTAAAATCACGTTAAGCTGTCATTTTCATTCTGTTCCTTAATTTTTTGTTTTCCTTCTCTTTTGGGTCTTTTTCTTGTGTTTAGTTATACTTTAGCCTCTTCTTAATAGGACTGACCAGGGATTATTGATTTTGGTAGATTTCAAGGCATCAGAAGCAGTGAAAATATTTTATTTGGGTGGGGAGCTTGAAGATCACATATCACTTATTGCACAAAATGTTCAGCCAAACTCCTTGTTACATCTTGTCCGTACAAAGATACATTTATGGCCTAGGGCACAAAGAGTTCCTGGTGAGGACAAGTCGTTGCGTCCTCCGGGAGCATTCAAGAAAAAATCTGATCTGTCTGTAAAAGATGGACATGTGTTTCTTATGGAGTGAGTGACTTGAAACTTTTGGTCTGTTACTTTGTACGCATGCTCTTTGTTGGGCCAGCATTATTTTCTATTTCGCATACTTCAAAGTGAAAATTCTATTTTGAAGGTTGAGAACGACCATTTATGTTACTATTGTCAGAGATACAATGCCATAGTTTGTTCTCTTCTGGTTAATAGTGCTCCATAAAGCCTTCATTAGCAGTTAGCAATGCTTTTTTCCGATTTCTATGTGTCTGATTAACCTATACAACGCACATTGCTCGTATAACACTTGTCATTTTACTCTAGTGTTTTGTCCTTTGATTGCACCTTGCTCGTACAACACTTGTCATTTTACTCTAGTGTTTTGTCCTTTGATTGCTTCATGGAACGACATACTTTCTTATAAAGATTTGCATTATTGGGTGACTAAATTCTGGAAGTATAATTTTTTGCAAATTAGCTTTCCTGCTTGTTACTCTGCTTGCAGTAATATGTAGTAATTCTGAATGCTCAACTCTCCCTTCCGTTGAAATATAAATGATTTTGAGATGGTTCTTTATAATTCGTAGTCCTTAAGATAAAACGTAAATAATTGTGAGCATTGAAATGAATATTTATTTTTTGCCTGGAATTAATAGTGAGCATGTCCCCTCGACACCAAATCTGATATATTGAAGAGAAACATTGTTTTGGCAATGCACTACTTGATTTTATTTTGTTTATGTTTTTTTCTAACAATGATTGTACTCTTGTTATTTTGTTTTCCCTTGGTACTTTGCTAAGTGAATGAGGATTGGGGATACTCCATCATTTAACTCATTGATTATGTTTTCCTTAGGTATTGTGAAGAAAGGCCTTTACTTCTGAGCAATGTTGGAATGGGCGCAAGACTTTGCACATATTATCAAAAAAGTTCACCGGAAGACCAATCTGGGTCCTTATTACGCAACACAGATAGTAGCTTGGGGCATGTTATTTCTCTGGACCCTGCCGACAAATCTCCTTTTCTTGGTGATTTGAAACCTGGTAGCAGTCAGTCATCACTCGAGACCAATATGTATAGAGCACCCATATTTACTCATAAAGTTCCACCAAATGACTACCTGCTGGTTCGTTCTTCAAAGGGAAAGCTATCATTAAGGCGCATTGATAAAGTTAATGTTGTTGGACAGCAGGTCAGTGTATCCTTGTTAATTGTCGTTTGTAGAATTCATAATTGTCTTTTAATTCTTTGAATTTATTTTAATGGTAAACTGAATGAGTTTATTTTTTAAGTCTCATTGTTTGATAGTGATTAACAGATGGAATATTTTGAGCTGTCATAATATGTTGCTAATCTCCATTAGCTTTTCCTTGTTTGATACTGCCATTTGCATCCCAAATATACACCACTGAAAATTTGTTGGTAGATGATATATTCAATTACTCTTTGCAGGAGCCTCTCATGGAGGTGTTCTCGCCCGGAAGTAAGAATCTTCAGACTTTCATGATGAACAGGCTATTGGTACACATGTGCCGTGAGTTCCAAGCTGCAGAGAAGCAGCACTTGTCTCCATACATTCGCATTGACTACTTTCTTTCACAGTTTCCCTTCCTATCAGAAGCCTCATTTCGTAAGAGGATCAAGGAATATGCTAATTTACAGGTATTGATGGTTCACAGAGCTAATTTTCCATGATAGAATAAGAAGTGGATGCTAATGGAATTCCTTATTTTTTCAAAATAATTGAGCGGTAGTTCTGCAAGATTTTGCATTGGATTTTATGTGATTTTATACAATCTTAGTTTTAACCTTCATTATACCTTCGGTATACCTGAATGTTTCATTAAATGTGTATTACTGCAGAGAGGTGCACATGGGCAATCCATTTTTGTTAAAAAGCGTAATTTCCGCATGTGGTCGGAGGATGAATTGAGAAAAATGGTGACACCAGAGCTTGTGAGTTACATCATTTGAGATTCGGTTCCTTTGTTGATGAATACTACATCTCTTTATATTGACATGCACTGTTAAAGCATAATAGTTACACATAAAATTGTCTTAAAAGCATGATATGATGGTTTGGAACTTGCACTGTAGAAATTATCCCATCAGGTACGCGGTTCAGAGTTGCCTACCTGATACTGTTCTCTTGGGTTGTTGAAAAAGTATGGTTTGAAACAGAGTTATTAATCCCGGATAGCGGAGCGGAGCGGCCGACCCCCGGGAATGGGAAAAGTGGGAATAGCGGGATCCCGGATAGCGGGATAATCTTTTATATACTAATAATTATATTGTAATAATCTATAAAAGAGGGCTTGCGAATGGCGGAGATGTGAGACAAAAGTAGAAGAAGATGGAACGGTGGAGATTGGAGAAGATGTACTTGCTGGAACGGTGTATGGTGCTGTTGCTGCCTTGCTGGAAGCCTGGAACGGTAGAGAAGATGCAGACTGCAGTTGTATGTTGCTGTCTTGCTGGAACTGGAACGGTGGAAGTGGAACAGTGGAGAAGAAGGGCACAAAAATTAGGGCAGAAGAAGAAAGTGAGAAAGTGAAACGAAGGAAAGAAAATATATTGCAAATCTGTTTTAAAAAGTATTTTAAAAGAGGGATAAAACAATAATTTTGTCCCAAAAAAAATAAAAAATAAAAAACCAGGCCCAAACCGCTCCGCCCTGGAGGCGCCCGCTATCCGCGACCCGGGATAGCGGCGATAGCGCCCGCTATCTTCTCTCCGCCACCGCACCCTTGTGCGCGCGCGGCAGGCCTCCGCTCCGCTCTGGAGCGCCGCTATAGCGGCCGCTACGGGCGCTATTAACAACTTTGGTTTGAAAAATTATCATGAGTTTTTCAGTTACTCTGCCTGGTAGGCTGGTACTGTCAAAAGCATGATTTGATGGTTTGGAACTCGCACTGTAAAAGTTATCCTGTCAGTTACGCGGTTCAGAGTTGCGTTCCTGATACTGTTCTCTTGGGTTGTTGAAAAAGTATGGTTTGAAAAACTATCATGAGTTTTTACCAGTTACTCTGCCTGGTACTTTTTATATGATTTTATAAGGTTCAGAGTCTTGATGCTTCTTAAGTTGGTGTGGGCTCTGAAGGTCCTTTAATTGCTTGTCATTGTGTGTCCCAAGTCTGCATACTTATGCTTTATTGTTTGTTTTTATAAGATACATCTCTTTCTTTAATATGATTCCTTCTTTGCCTATCTGTTTGATATCCATTGTTTTAGGTCTGTGCTTTTGAAAGCATGCAAGCTGGCCTCTACCGCTTAAAACATTTAGGAATTACTGAAACACATCCTAATAATATTTCGTCTGCAATGAGTCGGCTTCCTGATGAAGCAATAGCACTGGCTGCTGCATCACACATTGAGAGGGAACTGCAAATTACTCCATGGAACTTGAGTAGCAATTTTGTTGCCTGTACAACTCAGGTGATGTATGTTTATTTGATTTTTAGATTAGTTGACTTCAGCTTCATCATATATCTTGCTTATCAGTTACGTGTTCAAAATTTCTAAATATCAAGACTTTTTAAGGTAAAAGTAAATCTGGGTTTAAAATTTAAAGGGAAAGAGAGGAAGATTTCTTTCAAAAGAAACAACTGCCTTTAATAAACAGTGTATTATAGATTGATCTTACTCTAGGATATAATTGTAATACATATATGTAATCTGTTCCCAAATGAGTTGCTGACTTGTGTAGGTCCTTCATGCTTCATAGTGTATTTACACATTTTTGTTTTTAGTTATTCTAAGATTTCTATAGTTGGACCCCCATCTCAAAAAAAAAAAAATGGTTCTTTTTTTCTTTTTGACCTTCTCATTTATATTTTGCTACTTGGAAATGGAGTGAAAAAATAACATTTAACTCAACTTATGAAATTAGATTCCTGTAGCAAAATAATTCATGCATCCATTATTTTTCGTGATAATTTTCTTTTATGGATAGAATTGAAACAAAAATTATGTTTTCAGAAGATAGGGTTTATGATGAATTTTATCGTCTCTATTTTCTGTTATATAAAGACATTTCACTACACTGATTATTCTGTTCTCATCCTTTTTTTCTCTCACTAATCGACTAAATTACTTATGAAAAGTTCCTCCCCGCCCCTGGCACATTCTCTATGGCAGGGTAAGGAAAATATTGAACGGATGGAAATTACTGGCGTTGGTGATCCATCAGGCCGCGGCTTGGGTTTTAGCTATGCTAGGGCACCTCCAAAGGCACCAGTGTCTAGTGCAGTGGTGAAGAAAAAAGCAGCTGCTGGCAGGGGAGGTTCCACTGTTACTGGTACGGATGCTGATTTACGTAGATTAAGCATGGAGGCTGCACGAGAGGTGTGTTGCATTTTAGTGGTCTGCTCTGAACTGTATGTGGTTAACTATAACTGTATGTGAATCATAGTGCTTCATTTTAAAGATGAATTTCTTTTCTAGAATTTTGTATCATTTGACTGTGAGTAAAGCTGAGATAAGTTGAGAAACATGGAATAAAAAATTAGTGCTGCAAAATGTTTTAATCTGTACTGTATATTAATAACAACAAAAAAGGGAGTCTAAAAGCAGAAGTGGAAAATTGATTTTCATTGATGCCTAGTCAAGAAGTTCATTTACTTGAATAGGCAAGCACCTTTATGGATGTTGTTCATTACCTTGTCCTTTTTCTTAAACTTAGGACTGCACGTGATTATGAAATATGATTGTTTTGCTTATCTCCAATTTCACAATTTTCCCTTCTTGATCAGATTTTAGTCCAATGTATTAATTGCTTTTGTTTTCTCAAACATAAATAGGCAGCAAACGAGTTTTCTAGATATAAATGCTCCAAAACAAAGGAATATATCACCATTGCACTGCTTTATGTGTCTTGTTGGCTTCTGATTGCTTGAACCATGGAGGGATAACATAGCATATTTAATCCGTATGGATGGATGCATGTTTTTAATTTCAGACATTTTCTTATTCCAGGTACTTCTTAAATTCAATGTTCCTGAGGAAGTCATTGCAAAGCAAACCAGATGGCATCGCATTGCTATGATACGTAAACTATCAAGTGAGCAAGCTGCGTCTGGGGTTAAGGTTGATCCAACAACTATAGGAAAATATGCCCGTGGTCAGCGAATGTCCTTTCTTCAGTTACAGCAGCAGACCAGAGAGAAGTGCCAAGAGATTTGGGATAGGCAAGTTCAGAGTTTGGCAGCTTTAAATGGTGATGATAATGAGAGTGATTCAGAAGGAAATAGTGATCTAGATTCTTTTGCTGGAGATCTGGAAAATTTGCTTGATGCTGAGGAATTTGAAGAGGGAGAAGAAGGTACTAATGACTTAAAACGTGATAAGGGAGACGGTGTTAAGGGTCTTAAAATGAGAAGGCGCACAACTTTGGCTCAGGCAGAGGAGGAAATAGAAGATGAAGCAGCCGAGGCCACTGAATTATGCAGGCTGCTTATGGATGGTATGATATCTTATTGGTTATTGAAATATCATTCCATACCTTTATCGGTACTTAACTTGATCTTTGTGCTGTTCTAATGAAGTGACCATAATTTGTTAATTGAATCACTATTTTGAAATGAACATGGATGCTGCTTGTCATATTTGAATATTTTTTGCAATATTATATTCAGATGACGGAGCTTGCCGGAAGAAAAAGAAGAACACTGGGGTTATGGTGGATGCAAGAAGATTGATACCGAAACTACAACCAAAATTTGTCTTTGACAGCACTGAACAAGTAAAGCAAATAACAAATGCAACATTGCAACTCGATGGAACTAATCATTTTAAGGAGGATGCAATTACAGATCTTAGGGAGGTAAGGCAAAAATTAGTTTAGTCGCATATTTCCCAATATGCACTTTGTGTGAAGAATAGATCATAAATTGTCATGTAAAGAATTAAATTTGCTACTGTTGAAGTCTAATTCTTTTACTATGTATGTTTTTGGCAGGATGATAAATTTTCTTCTAAGAAAAGCAAATCAGTTAAGGTCAATAAAGCAAAGAAGAGTGACATTTCACCTATTAGTCTATCAAATAAAAAAATCAAACTAAATATGGGAGAAGGAATCAAGGTAAGCAGGTGACATTTGTGTTTCATTATTCTCTTTTCTCTATATAGAAAGACCCTTCTGAAAGGCACACCAGAGCTTTTCATTTAACGGTGCTTGCTGATGAAGATGCTTTGCATCTATTCCTGTATCAAAGCCTTGATTTTGTTTTTCTGCAACTAATGCATAAATACATTCATACACGAAGTAATTTCATAAGGACAAGAATAGTATTTCTATGTAATCAGCTCTGTTCTAGGATCACTGATAAAAACTCATTAAGCTACACCAAAGAATTTCACAGGGATATTTGAAAACAATTTCAGACAAAGTATGTTTTTAATTTCTCGATTATTGATAGAAAGACTGCTAATCCTAGAGCAGAAACAAATGCTTGGAAATAGTCTTTTCTATATGTTCAAAGATTGCAAACCATTATCATGTTTGACAGACGTGCCATAATCTTTGATACTTTTCTCAGTGTTTCTGTGTGAATTTTGTAACTGCATTGGAAGTTTGTTGTTTTTACTTCTTCTGAAATTATCTTTAACTTATGTCTGAAGAACCAGGTATTTAAGGAGAAAAAACCGTCAAGGGAAACTTTCGTTTGTGGAGCATGTGGCCAGGTGCGTATCTGGAGTTTACCCTTGTAGCCTTTTAGTTATGTAAAGTTTTTGCACTCCATACCTTTATGTATTATTGTTGTAATTATTTTGTTGATGAACCAGCTTGGGCACATGCGAACGAACAAGAATTGTCCGAAATATGGTGAAGATCTAGAAGCACAACTTGAACCTATGGACATGGAAAAATTAACTGGAAGATCCAGCTTTGTTGATTCTTCTAGCCAGTCTCAGCATAAACTCTCCTCCAAAAAGTCAATATCAAAGATTGTAACAAAAATGGCTCCAGTTGAGAATTCAACAAAAATTCCGTTGAAGTTCAAATGCAGTTCAACAGAGAAATCTTCTGATAGACCTGCAATAGAAACCCTGCAGAGTTCTGACAAGCCAGTCACTTCTGACTCAGAAACTGCTAAGTCTGCTAAGATTAGTAAGATAATTATTCCAAACAAAGTGAAATCAGAAGATACACAGGCTGAATCTCTTAAGCATGCTATTGTTATACGCCCTCCTACTGATCCAGGTAGAGGTCAGGTTGATTCTCATAAGTTCCCAATTAAAATCCGTCCGCCTGCAGAAATAGATAGGGAGCAAAGTCACAAAAAGATTGTTATAAAGCGTACAAAGGATGTTGCTGATCTGGAACTTGACAGTCCTGGTGGAAACACACGACTTGAAAACAGAAAAACTAAAAGAATTGTGGAATTGGCGAATTTTGAGAAGCACAGAAAGCAGGACACCATGTATTCAACTGAAAGTATGGTAAAATGGAATCCTAAAGAGGATAGAAGATGGTGGGAAGAACAAGAGAAACGAAGAAATGAAGTGAGACTTAGAGAAAAGAATGCAAAGAGGTATGGCACAGAAGAAAGGAAGATGCGCAAGGAACGAGAAAGGTTAGATGAGTTAAAAAGATATGAACAAGAAAGGTTAGATGAGTTAAAAAGATATGAAGAAGATATTAGAAGAGAGAGGGAAGAGGAAGAACGACAAAAAGCTAAGAAGAAAAAGAAAAAGAGAAAGCCCGATTTAAGAGATGAGTATTTAGACGATCCCAGGGAAAGAAGATATGGTAAGAGGATGCTAGAAAGAGAACGAAGTGGAAAACGGAGATCAGTTGTTGAGACAGGAAAGATTAGTGGAGATTTTCTGCCGCCAACTAAACGCCGAAGAGGGGGAGGAGGAGAGGTACATTTCTTGCTTGTCATTTTCACTATTTTGTGCACTTGTTTCACCTAGTGGCATCTTTCTGTTAGTTTTGAGGAAAGTACGGTCATTTGTTGTGTGTTGGTTTCACCTCCATTTACACATCCACATCCACATACATGGGATGTAGGAGAAATAACTACATTGTCATTTGAGTACTTGTGGTTGTATTTGCAGCAAATCTTTCTAGAATTGCAATTAAAGGAAAAAATGTCATTTAATTGTGGGTGCTGTCTGTTTTATTTTATAAAAACTATGATACATGATTTTAGTAAGATGTTTTAAAAAAAAAATTAGTTGTATGGTTGTGGTGGTTGGTCCTTTCAATTATTTAATGGAAAATGCTAACTTGTGCCCTTAGGGCAAAAGTTAAGAAACCAAATGTAGAAATTTTGGTTTGTAAATTGTGCACCAACTTTTTTTAAAAAAATTTGAAGTTTGCTGTTTTCAACACAATTCTCTATTCTTGGAACTTTTGAGTTTCTTAACTTGTGCCTTGGGGAACAAGTTAGCATGGCACTTTATTTGTAGCATAGGTAGTGCTTGTTGACAAACTACTTGGCTTGAATTCTGTGCTAACTTTAATTTTTTCTGAAGGTTGGTTTGGCAAATATCTTGGAGAGTATTGTGGATGCCATTGTGAAAGACAGGCACGATCTGTCTTATCTCTTTGTGAAACCAGTGCCCAAGAAAGAGGCCCCTGACTACCTGGATATCATAGAGACACCTATGGATCTTTCAAAAATCAGGCAACGGGTACGTAATATGGAGTACAAAAGTCGCGAAGACTTCAGACATGATGTATGGCAAATTACTTTTAATGCCCATAAATATAATGATGGACGAAATCCTGGAATCCCTCCAGTTGCGGATATGCTTTTGGAATATTGTGATTATTTGTTGAATGAGAATGATGATAATCTTACTGCCGCTGAAGCTGGCATTGAAATTAAAGATTTCTAAGTGATTTCAAATTCAAACCATGATATTGGTATGAAGTGTAAGTTCTAGATTTTTTGGTAGATATTGTAGTGTAAGTTCTAGTTTGAAAAGAAAAGTAAAATCATTTTGTATTTTTCATTTAAAGATGTCATAGAGCGTTGCAATTTGTATGGAAACAAGGTGATAATATCACTGTGTGGCTCATTGAATTTTTCGGCTGTAGTAGTATAGTATGATAGTCCCCTCAATAATTCTCTGGGTTAGGAAAAAAAATAGCAGATACAGAATAGAAAGTCCTTTGTTTTTTTTTTCCCCACCAATTGTTGACTATTAATTGAAAAAGTCCTTCGAAATTGTGCTAACTAACATCTCCTTAAGTATACCATTAATGAAGTTTGGGATCATTGTTTATTTGTTGTCTTTGGACCAATTAGTTTTTTGGACCTGCACGCACCATTATGAATGCCATGGTATCGAGGAAACGTTATCTTAAATTAACTAACATGCATTTGGCTTAGGCGCGTGTCTAACTTAATGGTTATTTTCAACTAATCGATATTGTTTTTTGATAATCAAAATTTATTAATAAGAGTATAAGGGGTATTAATGGTTTAGAAAATTTATAGGAGAACACAACTAATTACTTTATTGTGCATTTTTTCCTCTATTACCAATAGTATGTCATAACCAAGACAACACTTGGATATTCATAACAAGATTAAGAGAAATTAAGTTGCTACCGTCATATTATACATGCCATCCTTAGACATGGCACATTTATGAAATTGTTTCCAAAAGATATCAGAATTTTTGAATTTTTCAGTTCTATATCGGAAATTTCATGCAAATATTGGAAGTTTCATTAATTTTTTAATTTTTACCGTGTCATATGAATGTAATCGGAAATTTGAAATTTCCGATATCGGATATTTCAAATTTTTGGTGTTTTTCATCGTTATAAAAAAATTGGAAATTTGAAATTTCCGATGTGTGAAAAACACCGGAAATTTCAATTTTTTTGATAATACTGGGACTTAACTTTTGTTTTTGTTTTTTTAAATTATTACTTGAATAAAATATACGATATCTGTGATGAAGAACTGTGTAAGATCAGTACATGAATTCATAGAAGAAGTTGAAACTGTCGATTCAGGACTGCAAAAATATAAAACTTCATCTGCAAACATACCAAAATTTTCAAGTATAAGTGAAATTTCCAGTACACCGAAAATTCGATATTCTCGGTGAAGATTTTCTATCACATGTAATGACTTTTGTAAAAATTTATAGAAATTCTTAAATTTCCGGTAAATTGTAATCGAAATTTTTGAAATTTCTGATAAATGGCAACCGAAAATTTGTAGAAGTATAAAATTTCTGGTATGCGATAAAAATCGGTACCGGAAATTTGTTAAGAGTATCGCAAATTTCGATTTTTATCCCCTTTGATCAATAATAATTTTTTTTAATAAAAGTAAAATTTTTAGAATAAATAGTAAAAAAGTATTTTGAGAATAATGAAATTTTGGGGATGACATGTATAATATGGAAGGTGGTATGTTATCTAGAACACATAAATCACCTTTGAATGTTGTTTCTGAAATTTCATATGGACCAAACTGTAACCAGTCACTCTAAACCGATTTTCTTCTTAATTTTCCCATGAGTGCATGTGTGAAATGTTTATAGTGAATTAAGCCATCATAACCATCCACGTCCTTCATTTCCAACCAACAATATATGCTCCTCAATATTTTTTAGCTTATTTTGCATTTGAAAAAGTAAGTGAACTAAATCTTCTATCTTTTTAAAACATAACACATATATCTTGTCATACTTATTTTAAATGATCTTCCTCTTCACCACTTGATCTCTTGTTGCGAGTCTGTTTAACATCATCCTTTAGACAAAGATCTTTAATTTTGAAGGTATGTTAGTCTTCCATATCCTCTTCAGAGACATTTTTTTATCCACTTCCGACATGTCTTCCAATTCCCTTTTACACAGAAAATTATAACAATTTTCATACTAAAATTTTCATCTTGATTTGACCATCACTTAATCATATCAATGTCTTCACATGTAGGTTTGATATTTGTCGGCATTTCAATAAGACCAAACACTTCTTCTATTGCTATCGGATCACCTAGAATTAACTCTGGCGCAATATGCAGATCTCAAGTCCACTATTCAGTCTGCATCCTACCCATCTCAATGATCTTCTCCAATGAATTCCTTGACATGCTGAAAAGAGTAGGGAAACATTTTGAGAGGAGAGTCCCCTATCCATATGTTGACCTAGAACAAAGTTCTCCTTCTCGCATCTAATTTATAAATGATGTTACCTGCAAAACAGTCAGATTTATTAGTTTTATGTACACTAGCATAATGAGTATCCAACCATCAAACTGGAGATTTTTTGTTTTTCTTTGAATCGATCCCCATCAACACAACATATGCTGCAAATCACCATATCTTACCATCAACATTTGTTTCTAAATGGTGTCATCTTAATTTAACATTTTCCATTTTTATTTGCACAGACTTTATTAAAATAACCAATGTGTCTAATACCAAACCCTCCCTTATCTTTAGGTCTACAACTAATTGATATTTTGTTACTCAATTTCTTATCCTATCTTATGAGGCGAAAAATAATCCTATGAAAATTCAAAAATACATCTCAATTTTTAGAGATGTATTTCCAGATGAACTCTTTGCATAATTCAATGATGCATAAAATCAGTGTCACTCCATTTCAAAACAAATTTTGTTTTGGAGATGTAACTCTGGACAGATCAATTCAATATGTTGTTGACTGAGCATCCCAGTCAAGTTTTTAGAGATATATTCCGTAGTTTTAAAGCGGGAATATGAAAATTTGTCACCTTTGTATGTCAGGCTGTTTCGGAGATGCATCTTTGAAAATATCCAACATGAATTTGTTAAAAATATCCACCTGCATGATCATACTCCATATTCATTTTTCTAAAAATCCTTTCCAAAAAAATCTTTCCATTCTCAATCAAGACTTTTACATCAATTTTTTTTTTTGTGTGTTTCATCACATCGAAAGGAGCAAAAGAAACTGAAATTGAAGGTAAATTTCATTTATTTAAAGCCTCATTGCCCACATTAATCTTGTGCTGTAGTTGAAAAACTAACGTTTAATCTGAAAATACATTTCCGAATTCAGTATGAATGTCTTCAGAAATTCATTTTCGGATACTGTAAGTCTTCATTTTGCAGCGGTCTCTTTTCAATATTAGTTTTTTTATACTATTTTATGTTATTATTTTCATTAGATATGGTGTGCTCTGATGTATTCTCGAAATCTATTATATCTCTGAATGTCAAATGTGTAATAACCAGTTTAAAAATAAGATGAATTAGAGATTCTAAATTGTTGGACTCGTTCTTAGATGAAGGAAAGGTGTTAGGTACCCCTCATCTATCTTGTTCACAAGGATACTAGGGTTTAGAATCGCGGCTTAGGAAATAAGATTTTAATTTTTATTAGGGGAATTCGCCACGATTTTAGTCGTATGCATACATATTCTTTTATGAGGAATCAGAGTCCCAATTCGTAGTTCATAGTTGGTTGGTGTTTTTTATGGATTACGAAAATATTTGAATTCCCCTTGTACTTAGTCTGGGTGTATGAATAGCGGAGTTGTTAGACGAAGTTCGCAGTCGATTAAAATATTTTCGTAATCTTTTTTGAAAATTTATTTAGAGTTAATTAATTTATTAAAAAAAGATTTAGTGTTGGTTAAATATTTTTTAAATGTGTTAATTATAAAATATCTTATTAATGCATGGTTAAAAATAATTTTAATGCAATAAATAAATATTTGGACGAGTTTAGAAAATAAATATTTGATTTTATGATAATAGTAAATATATTAGAATTTATAAATATATTAAAATATAAAAAATAATAATTATAAATAATTAAAAAAAATGCAGGGGAGTGTATATTGTGTTGGGCTAGCAAAACAGGGGGACATAGGTAGTAGGGCCCTGAATTCAGATGTTAAATTCATGCCCAAACGCAGGGGGTGTAACTCCTAACGTGATAACAAATCTGGAAGTTTATTCAGCAAGGGCCCAAGTTCAGATACTGAATCGGGTCCAATAGCGCAGGGGGGTGTGATCTCTTAACGTAGTAGCAAAACAAAATCAGGGGGGTGTGAGTAGTGATGGGCTTAGGCCCAAGATTGCAAACGCTTTGTTGAGAGGTCCGTCTGGACTTTGTAAGGGACCGTGCACCTGGTTAAAGTGGATGTGCATTTTCAGGGACGTTGGATTATGATCACATGGAAGACGTGAAAGGTGCACGATAGGGAGCGACACACAGGATTACAAGACATTATATTTTCTGTTTTCGTTTTAATTGATTCATTTTTATCTCTTATTTCTCTCGTTTCTCTGTTCTCTCTCCCTAAACACAACAACAACATAAAAACCCTAATCGCCACTATTTCTCAAAATCCTAATTGGTGAAGATTGTCCCTCTTTCCCCAAATTAACAAAAAAAAAACCCCAATTGTGATGGTAAACAAAGAAAACGCAAAAGCTAAGTTACCTCTATACGACTATTCTTCAAGCCTCCTCTGTGTAACTCTCTTTCTGATCTCTTTCTCAATTTCTGTTTGGCAGGTACTGGACATAGGTGATGATGGAAGTGGCGTCGGCAGAAGTGCTAGGCTTTCAGATTTTGAAACCCTAAGCTTACACGGAGCAACGATGTGCAAAAGATTACGACGGTGGTGCTCAAATCTCTCTCTTCTCTCAGGCTTTCTCTTCTTTGTCCTTCGATCCCTACTCTCTTAGAATTTTTAGGCTTTTTATAGCATTTTGGTTGAGATAATTTAGGAAGTTCTATATTTTTTGTCACAAAGAGAATTGATTTAGGTTTGATTAGTGAATTTGGGATTTAGAGATTTATTTGTAATTTGGTATGAATCTGTATAACAAGATTTGATTTAGTCACGATTTGATTCGATTTTGTATTAAGTTTGATTATCAATTTTTTTTGTAAAATTTTTAGACAATTCAATGTGTAAATATTGATTTTGTTTTGATTTGAACATTAATTGTATAGCCTTAAAAATGTGTTTTTCCTTCTTGATTTGAACAGTGTGTGTTTTAGCTTTAAAACAAAGCGTTTCGCTTTCTTGAACAGTGTGTGTTTCGATCGAGCTTGTTAGGGAAGAAGAGGAACATTGGGCCCTTGACGATAATTATGGTTTCTCTTGCCTCTCTTGACTCAGTCAACGAAAAAAGTAGATAATAATGATATATAAAATATAGTTTATAATAATTAATAATAAATACTTATAATGAGATCATATAATAACGTTTAAAATAAAAATAAGAGAAAAATAATTATAATAAGATGGTAAGTTGACTCGGTCAACCAAAGTTGATGGGCCCTTAAGAACAAATTGACACGGGTCTTCAGATTCAAAAAGGACACCCCTCTTTTATGAACCCAATCACAACTATAATGGACCCTTAATGAACCTAAATGGGCCTTCGAATTCACATGAGCCTTTCTGATTTAGAAAGGCCCAAGAATCCTTAATAAGATAAAACCCCTTCCAAATTTGAAATGGGATGAAAGCGAAACCAAAAGGCCTTAACCAAAACGAAATGGGCTTAGCAAATTGGATGCTAAGCCCCTAACCTAAGATGCACCTTTCATTAGCAAGTGAAGCTTTAATGGGCTTAAAACAAGATCAAAATGAGCTAATAAGTCTCAAGCATATACACCCTATTTCTAATCAAAAAACCTAATGGGTCATCCATTTTACACGGGCTTTCCTGATTTAGAAAGACCTATTAATTCTTTAATAAGTTAAAATCTCCCTTTATAAACTTAGACCCCCATGAATATATTAATTTGACAGCAATATATTATAAAGCAAATGATAACTCTAGAAATTAATAAGGAATAAAAATGATTAGAAATCAGTAGGGCGAATTTGGGGTATGACATCTGCCCCTATTTAATTGCCTTTCGATTGAACAATGCGAGAACACGCAGTTTTCACACGCTTTGATCAGAAGTTTATTAAATAATGGAAGACCCCAAAATTTTTCTGAAAGATTATAAGGATACGATATACAACATTCCCATGGGTATGAAAAGTAGGCATAGATGATGATGTATCATCTTACCAGCGTTTGAACCAAAGTTTCGATTTGAATTAGATATGATGACGCAGATAACCTAGGAGGTAAATAATACAAGTTTGAAAAGATGACTTACTAATTCTTTGAGACTAATATCGTAAGTTTATGACGCAGGTTTTGTCTATTCATCGTAACCTAGGGGATGAATAAAACAGAGTTTGATAACACATTGCTGCATGGAGACTGATGTAATGGATTATACAAATTTTGTTATGTTTAGTACGACCTACGGAGTAAACAGTACGAGGATGAACCTGTGTATTTATCACAACCTAGGGGATAAAATACAACAATGGTAGGCTTATGTTATTCATCACAACCTAGGGGATGAATAATATAACCCTGAAAATTTGCATACCTATCGCAACCTAGGGGATATATATTTGAAGAACTTGTGTATTTACCACAACCTAAGGGATAAACGACACAATGATAGATTCACATATTCATTAAAACCTAGGGAACAAATAATATGAATCTGGTAATTCGCACACCTACCACAACCTAGGGGATAGATGATTGAAAAGTGTTTTGATGATCAAATCTTAGATAACTAGACCAAAGATGAGATCGGATTTTTACCGGTCGTGTCTGTTCTCAACCAAGGTAAATGCTTGTTTTTTTAAACTGACAAAGGTCCCCAAGATATTGGTTTTACCCAAAGTGTGTTTGGAAAATTTCCATGTATGATGTATATGCATAATGTCCTGGATTGATATGGAGCCCAAAATGTATATGTATCGAGTATTTTGCGTATGCCCTAAATGCACCGAATGTGTATATGCCCCAAATGTAATATAATGTTTTTTGATATTCTCTCCTTTTAAACAAATGGTTTTGTGTTACCAACTCCCTAACATTGTGTTGTTGTGGTATCTTTGAATTGATTTGAACACGATGAAAAGTGTCTGCAGGATCTTGATATTTGTATCATAGACACAAGCGTAGGCGTGGGCATAGTTGTGGATGCATGCGTGGGCGTAGACGTAGGCGTGGATTCTCTTTTTGATGTTTTTCTAACCAAAATGATTTTTGATATTTCATCAAATGCTTTTATTCGTCAAATCCCCAAAATGATTTCAATGCAATATTCACAAAAATAATCGTAGTATTTTGCAAACAAGTCC